TGCTCTTTTGACAGGCTTAGTGAGTTTCATCCTAATATGCAACACATAACATTGATGCTTTCTGCTTGGTTAGCGATTGGTGGAAATGCTTGTTCGTGTGCTCTTTGCTCATATCCCACAGATGTGAAGCATACTTGACTTACCAGTGACATTCAATCCAGTTTGCCGGTCTGAAAGGTTTGGCCAAGCTGCTTCCTGGTAGCTCTCGTGGGAGACATCAATCCTAAAAGAGTTTTCTTGTTTACTTGTTGGAATGGAAATGAGAACTCAACTTAAATACTGCAAGATATCACTACCGTCGACACTGCGTGAACAACTTTGGCCCTCAGTTGTTCAGAATAAGTCATGTAACCTTGTGAGGAGCTCAAAGTGAAGGAAAAGGTTTCGGTCTGATGATATCTGGTAGTTTTTAGCTGCTTTTAACTTCTCCTTTATCCGTGACATTCCAGGAGGGCAATGCTAGAGTTATGGAGTGCCAGAGAACCCTTTGGGAGTCTCTCTCATTTAAGTCTGACTACATTAACTTCCACTTCTAAAGCTGAGAAGGTCTGGTCCACCTCTATAAATATTTTTCAGAATTTCTCAAATTCTTCATTCCAGACCGAGGGCGGCTTCCACTCTTTAAGTGACATCTGGTATAATTTTCGGTCGGTGTGTATGCAGGGGCAAATGCAGGAAAGGGAGGGAAGAGGAAAAGGTAGTCTCGCTAGGCCACTCTCCTGTTTTCCCTCCCTCACTCCGACTCTTTGCCCTAGGTGTGGCCAGCTGTGCTATGAAATGTAATCCCCCCTCCCCTCCAAACCCTCCCCAGTGTTTCCCCTGCCATTATTTTAGGGGGGCAGCCCGCCCCCCCAACAGCACCCCCCGCCCCCCTTGAAGGTCAGGTTAATTTTATTTAAAGGGGTCATATGATGCTTTTTTTAAATATCATTATTTTGTGTATTTGGTGTAACAGAATATGTTGACATGCTTTAATGTTCAAAAAACACATTATTTCTCAAATACTGTACATTATTGTAGGTCCTCTATGCCCCGCCTCTGTCGAACGCTTCGTTTTCTACAAAGTCCCTCCTTCCGACAAGCGCAGTCTGCTCTGATTGGCCAGCTGACCCAGTGCATTGTGATTGGCCGAACACCGCAAGCACTCATCGGAAATGTAACGCCCCTTACCATAATCGCGAGCTTCATTTTTCAAAATAAATGTAAAGACAGTAAATAATGTCATTAGTTTTACCATCAGTTCAAGCCTGAAAGGGGAACAGAGTCGCGTGACAAACACAGTAATGATGCATAACACAAGCCACGGTTAAGACAGCTGACTCCACTGTGATGTGACCCTGTCTCTCTCTCTCTCTCTCTCACTTCAGGGATCTTATCTATGCACAATCAGCTTGTAACACTCCAAAGAGAAAGGAAAACTTGAAATCGCATCATATGACCCCTTTAATTATATTATCTCTATAGCGCCAAATCACAACAGAAGTCATTTAAAGTTACCTTTCCGATAGAACAGGTCTATACCTTGTTCTTTTATTAAACAAACTAAATAGCCTTATGTTATTTATCTTATTTACACAACGGCATGTAATTTCGGTCTCTACGTTATGGTCGTGCTCTCTGCAACACGCACAGCGGAGTTCCGCCCACACACACACACACTCACTCACACACACACGTGCGCACACTCCCACTCCCACTAGTATTTGTAAATATTAAGCCGCAAAATGACTATTTAAATATGAATTCTTTGTGTCTCCGTGTTAATGAATGGCGCAGACATGCGGCTTTGTTTACCACTCGTGCTGAAGCGCGCGTGACGCGTGCGGTGATTTTAGCATCTGCCGTTACATTAATACATGAACAACATCTCCAGAACTGCTCTGAGAGTCACTTCATGAGCATTTGACTGTTCCATTTGAGAAAAACTATACTCATATCACATACACACAATTTGGAAAAAATAAAACATTTAATAGGGCCTTAAACATGTAATTTTTGTTAAACTTTTAATAAATTGATGTTAAATTGTTTAAGTTTCATGATTTTAATTAATTAGACATGCTTTTTGATTAATAAAATGTAATTTAACCATTAAAAAGGAGTCCTAGGGCAAACACTGCTCCCTCATTCTCTCATTCACAGGGTGTAATTGCAGGAGACCATCTAAAGCTGCCACATGGTGTACAGGAAAGAATCTGACCGGCTGTATAGCTGTCAGTCAGAGGGATGGATGAAGTCCTCTTGTATAGTAATGCTTCATTAATGACATTTTATTGAAACTTATTGCAGACAACCTTCCTGCAGATCAGTCCTCTGTGGCTTTTTCCTGCAACTTTATATTAAAGAATGACAAAAGAAATGGTCATTTCTGCATATTACATAATTATGTGACATGTTAGATGATAAAATAACACCTACATTGCCATTAACTAAAAATCAAGCTGGGTTCCATGAAACGTAAAACTGGATTTCAGAAGTCATTCCTCTGAATCAGAAGCTGCCACAGATCTTTGGAAAGTGATGTTAAGAGTCTCTGGGCTTGGAAGGAGCTGTATTTTGTAATAGTCAGCATTAAGGCTGGAAGGTTACAGTGTGTAGGAATGGTTTCCATATGAGTGCACTTGGAGTACAGTGGAGTCATCCTGGCCTCAGATAGAGTCACAGACTGCCTCGCCTTGCTTCGGCTTCACTGCTGGTAATGACGCTGTCAAAACATAGTGCCCACGCTCGGTATTTGTGTATGTCTAAGTGCACATGTGCAATATAACATGTTTGACTGTTTGTGCAAGAACCTGCGAGGGTGTTTGTGCACCTCTAAGTGTGTGTGTGTGTAAGAGAGGCTGGTTTCTGAGGTCGCTGCCATGTGGTTTAATTATATGCTTGTAGAGTTTATGCGACGAAGTGGGCTGCCGTAGGTAGCAATTAGACAGGCAGACATGAGCACGACTGACCATCGGCTGGCTGTTTAGACTGTCTGTGTGTGTGTGTGGTTAGAGTGTTGGGTACAACTTTATCACATCCAGAAGGTCTCTTGGAGCGCATACTCGTGATAACACACTCTTCGGGTTTGTTACAGTCTCTAAATTCCTCCTAGTTTGGACGCTGTTTTCTGTGATCTGCGGCTGCATATCTCTGGCGGTTTACGGCTCTCTGTTTGCGCTTGGAACAATAGCGTAAGATCTTCAAGAGAGTGGAAGCAAGAATGAGGCGCCCCTGCTGGTTTCTATGCCTCTCTACGAGGTAAATACACAAATGATTTGTTTATTTATTCTTATTGTAATTGTAGTCTATTTCCTCTCGCTAGTCAATATTGTATCCTGTCAGCTATCGTTTCAGCTAATGAGACATTGTGTGTGTATGAGTCTGTGGGATGCATCGGCTGTAACGCTCACTAAGGAACAATCATCCTCAGTTCACTCAGCTTGATTATAATTCCAGGGTGTTGGAATTTTTCTGGAGTGTGTGCATGTGTTTGCTGCAATGGGATTTTTTCAAATCCAGTGTGGGCATCTGTTGAAGTCTCTTCTAGCAACGAAGGGCCAAGGGTGACCTCTGCAGCCTTCACACGACAAGCACTCTTTCAATTTTTCTGGGTCATGTGGATTAAGTCCAGGGTGCTCAAGATTCCTGAGTGTAAGCCTAGCTGGCCCCTAAATGGCAGTCACCTTGCGTGCATTCATATGCTAATGAGACCTGTGTGACCATTAGGGTAATATTCTAATGTGATTGATATTGCTCAAATAAATTATGTAGTTCAGATATAGTTTTTGGTTTCAGTTTGTCACCCCTTTAGAGTAGAAATTGTCTTGTGAATTACAGCTGTTTTTGGTTTATCAAAAATAAAGTGTGTAATATCTGAAAAGCTAGGGTGAGAAGGGTGCATCTAGGAGGGATTGATGTAAATCCACTCTGCATATTAAATCAAATGAAAATGCATCTGCGCGGTTTCAGCAGATGTCAGCCCATTTATATGCAGTGTTATTGTTCACTGAAATTATTAAAAATGGTTTTCATTAATTGAAATAAAGCTGAAAATAAAATATCACATTAAAAAAAAACTTGACAATAGAACTTAAATAAGTTTATTAGTTAAGCTGAATTAAAAATAAAGCTAAAAAGAAATCTAAAAAAAACAAACATATGAAAATGACAAAAGCGCATAACAAAATTACTAAAACCTAAATTAAAATTATAAATAAAAGCTGAAAAAGCTCATTTAAAATATTAATAAATACTCAGTAATACTAAAATAACTACTGATGCTCTAAAAATCGTTTAGAGGTCACATTCTGTGATGTAATTTTGTATGGTATGTGTTTCTGGGCTTCAAAACTCAATTTCTGTATGTAATTACATTTTTACCCTTAGCAATAGATACTTGTTCCATTTTTAAGAATTGAGGAATACCATTTATTTGTTTGTTTGTTTGAAATTGCAGTTTGGTTAAATGTTTGTAACGTTCGTAGTCACGGGAAGAAGGAGGCGGGAACTGACGAACATTTAAATAAAACTTTAATAATAAAATAAACACAAAACAGAGCGACAGCCCCTCGCGGACGACTGTCGCGCACAAACAAAACCAAAACACAAAATAAACTCCAGGCCTGGTCCTCTCTCGTCTTTCACTGTCGTCACTCCTCCTTTGTATCCTTCCGGAGCTCCTCCGTGAGACTCGAAACCGGTGAGTGGTGCAGGTGTCGCTCATTATCAATTACCTCGCTTCGTTCCCACGGCTCTCGGCCCCGCCCCACTCATCACATACCCCCATTGCCCCTCGCAGGCCGGGGGGTACTCCCGAGACTGCGCTCTACCCCCCCCCTCCCCCCTCCGGGGGAGGCGGCCGTGATGTACCTGGGGGTAAGGACAGACAGACGAGGCGAGAGAAAAGGAGACGGAAGGATGAGGAGAGACAGAGACGAGAGAGGGAAAAAAAAAAACTTGTTCCGGTTCCCAGACACACTGCCGCTCGGCCCTCCACCAGCTGGGTAAGCTCTTCCGCGATGCCAGGCGGCGGCACTGGACAGCCCTCGGTGGACGGCACGACACTCTTCCTCCGCCCAGTGGACGGTGACGGCTCCTCCGCGTTCAGGCAGCCGGCAGGAGTCCCCCATTCCCTGCTCCTCCCCATCATGGCGGATGGCAGCAGGCTCCGGCCTCAGGCGAACTGCGGCGACTCCTCCGCTCCCTCACGGACGGCAGCCGTCCCTCCACGTCCCAGGCGGCCGGCAGCAAGCTCGTCCGCCCCCCCCCGGCAGCTCACGCCAGCCCACCGCCTCGAGCGTCCATGACAGCAGACTGCTCCGCCATGCTCGGTGGCACCGCAGACTCACCACAGCGGCGAGGGATCTCTCCTTTCTCCGCCCCTCCTTCCTCCCGGGTTTCGGCACCAATGTAACGTTCGTAGTCACGGGAAGGAGGAGGCGGGAACCGGCGAACATTTAAATAAAACTTTAATAATAAAATAAACACAAAACAGCGCGACACCCCCTCGCGGAAGACTGTCGCGCACAAACAAAACCAAAACACAAAATAAACTCCAGGCCTGGTCCTCTCTCGTCTTTCACTGTTGTCACTCCTCTTTTGTATCCTTCCGGAGCTCCTCCGTGAGACTCAAGACCGGTGAGGGGCGCAGGTGTTGCTCATTATCAATTACTCCACCGCCCTCGCTCCGTTCCCACGGCTCTCGGCCCCACCCCACTCATCACAATGTTGTTAAAATTAAGTTCATTCATTTAATTATTCTGACAATGATGTCGGAGCTGTGGCATAGTAGTTAGAACATTCAGCTGTGGAACTCATATGAGAAGTATAAGCTTGAGTCTGGCTCACAACATTTCCCTGTCCAATTCCCCCTCTCCCCCCCCCATAATTTCCTTTCTCTGTGAGTTAAACACTTGATGTGTACTGTATATAATACACATATGTCATATGCATCACTGCATCAGTCTGTCTGTACTTTATAGAGGAGTTTTGTCTTTCTTTCTCTCTGGGATGTTTCCTTGAGGGAGGAGTAGGAGCAGGAGAACAATGCTGTGATCGTTTACACCTTCACTGTTATTGTTACTGTCTCATTGCAGAAGCACACACCCACAACAAGAAGTGTAGCTTACACAAACATGTCAATATACATACACTCAGACTACACCATAATAAACACATTTAGACAGTGACATTTCCATGATCTCATTCCTTCACACACCACACCAAAAGCCTAAATGCAGCTCTCACCCTCTGGTAGAGCGTAGATTGCTATTTTCAGATTCTTTGGATGTAGTGTTAAGTCTGTGGCAGGTCTTTCTCTTGAGCTCCAGGGCAGGGTGGGAGATGGGAGCAGTTCCTGGGCTCTACCCCAATGAAGATGCTCACAGCAGGCTGTGGTTGCCTAGGTTAACCCATAAATGCAAACACCTCCAGAATCATGACACACCACTGACTCTAGGGTCTGTGAAGTGGGCAGAGGGGATGAAAGGATTGATGGGGAGAAAAAGGATACGCCAGTCCAAAGAAGCCACTTCTCCTGAGCTACAAGTGTTTATTACATTTTAATGGCCTTGTTAAAGAAATATAAAAAAGAGGCAGAGAGATAGTTGGTCTTCATTTGTTTTATTACACTTTACTGTGAGAAGAAAAAGGCTGGGTTTGACCTTTGACCTAGGGAACCTGGCCAGCAGTTGTACATTTCCTCACCTAAAGGCAAAGTAAACAGACCTACCAAAGAATGAGACACACTTGGCACAGTGACTTTTTGGGACCTTTGCTGCTTGATTTAGTGGGATCTTTAGACTTTTATTTTGACGTGTTAGGCCTATTTGTTGCGTGATTTAAACAAACATGGAAACACTTTTAGAAGAAGAAACCACTGTAAATTTCTATTTATGTGTCCTCATGTCTCCTGTTAGTTAAATATATTGTTTGCTGGTCTCCTCTAGGGGCTGTTTGTGGGTGGCGAAGAGATCAAAAAGGTTAAATAACAGAGCAGCTTCGATACGTTACCATTATAACCCCCTCCACTGTAAATTTACTCTTGATGGGTGATATGTTTATATATTTATAATTTTAATAAACATCTCATTTTGGAATGTTTGTTAAACAGACAGTTTGACTCAAAGCTCTGTTAATGATTCTCCTCTAGTAAACACTTTTGACATGTTTGGGACTTGGAGGGCTTTTGTATTGTTGCAGTTCATCCTAAATAGTATACAAGATCAGAATTACTGTGTCAGTATGTTGATGCAAGTAAGCTAAATTGGCCTGGATGATATACTTTTCTTTTTTTAGTGCATTTTCTTTTTCAACTGAACTACCCACAACCCCTTGCACAACACAAGTACACTTATCTTAATGACAAGTGCAGAGGAATGCAAGGATGAAGCTGCCCCTTCATTTTTTAATATGCATTCACCTGAAAGTAAAGAAACGTATGTATGCCTATTGAAACACAGCCCTAGGCTATATCCAGAATCGTCACCTATACACTCATTCTCTATTTCCTACATTAATTCACTAATATAGTCCACTTAAAAGAGTAAATAAAAAGAAGTGAGCAAATTCAGACACTGAGTAGGCCCAGAATGGCTGCGGATACTGCCAGGAATTCATTTGGCATGACCTTCACATTAGTTGTTACCTAGCTGTTGAGTGTACTTCGGTTGTACACTCATTATTGTGGTGTATTATGGGATTGAGTGCACTCAACAGTATCCATTATGGACACCACTACAAATGGGTATCTCTTCAAATAGTGCACTATGTAAGGTTATGGGGGGTGATTTCGGACATGACTCGTCATTTGCACTCAGTGTTATCAGCCCCCTTGCAAGGCTGCCCACTCAGATGCCAGCGTGAAAAGGCATGACACTGGCGTTGATTTCCGTGAGTTAAAATTGCTGTGCGTAAGCACATGTTTTGAGCAGGGCCCCAGCCCCAGAGCCTATCTAATGTATTGAGTGAGAAAGGTAGGATTGCCAATGTGCACAGCTTTGCTGACCTCAGCAGCTTGCATAGACAAAGCTAACGGAGCGACACTGGTGTGTGTGAGAGAGCAGAGAACAGTGACAGCAGGGGTCCCTCTCACATACAGTACTTAAAAACACAATGAAGTTTCGGTCACAAACCAAACAAACATTCACAAGCCTGTTTCTTCCAAATTTCACACTGTGTCCTGTCCAGGCAAGATACTACAAGTAATAAATGCTTCTGCGACAAGTGGAGAATAATTTGACAGTTTCTTCTTTTGTCAGGTTGCGCTTGGTACCTCTGACCAAAGTGAGGACCAATCTCTTTGGTCCAAAATCCTGCTCCATAAAACTAAATGTTGAACATCAAATATATTCTGATTAGCTGCAGTTTTGTTACTTCTGCAATTTTGTCACTTTGCAGCAGCATTATGCTTTTGGAGAACAAAATACGTGACGCACACAAAGTGGCCTGGTGGAGAGTGCGTGGACTGTGGAGGTATTTCCATGTAGTCAAACTGAGAGACACAAATATAATTAGCATTGATTATTTAACTGGGTAGGTCAGATGGAAATAGGGTTAGTAGATCTAGGTTGACCCACATCTGTATTGGACTGTGTTATTTCTGAAATAGACTCTTTCTGACATTGATATCTGTAAGTGATGGGTCACGGGTATGGTTTTAGTGTTCGGGTCAGTGCTTCTTTACAGCAATGGCAGCAGAAGAGAGGAAACATGCAGGGTGCTACTGAGACCACACATTCCAGAGATCAGGGTGCATAGGTCAAAGATGAACGTTAATCTCTCTGTGTGTACTTTTGTGTGCGGTTTAATGTTTAGTCTAGGTGTTTTTTTTTGGATTATTTATCTGGGAGCCAGTATGGTTGTGTGTGTGTTTGTGTTTTGGAAATGTCAATCAAGTTTCAAATGCACCTCTGACTTCTGAAGAATCCAACACAGGGCATTCTCATTCCAGTGAGCAAGTGCAGAACCTTTTATAAATGACATGTCCTCACCAAGTGGTCAAGGTCTGACTGGTTAGCAAGGATCAGGATATACTATATACATACCAAGTTATACTAAGGCCCTGTTCCAAATGATGCACTTGATCGGTCTTATAGACTTGCATTTCTTGGAATGCCTGTGAAGTCCACAAGGCCGTAAGGTGTCAACATTTCTTGCTTTGCACCTCAGTGCACACTTTTGGAAACATAGACTTGGAGGAGCACCACAAAGGCATAACTTGGAATAATCACTAGTGAAGGTTTTGGGCCCATGCATGGTCTTGTGCTGACATCAGCCAATCAGCATTGCCATGACATCATTTTTGGCCACTACAAAGTGATTAGTCACATGGACTTTTATGTCACAGGTGATTGGGTCATAAACAATTGCATCCAGAGCTGAGTGCCCATGAGCAAATTTCAAATCAAGGACTTCTTACGGGTCCTGTGCCAGCTGAGCAATTGGCGTTGAGATGAATGGGAATGCTAGGATGGCTTTCTCCAGTTATTATAGACCTCGATCCACACACACTTTGTTCTGAATATAAGGTATGCTTCCTGTTGTGGCGTTACTTTAGATTTCAATGGCCACCCTCTCTTCCTCTTGGCCTGTCTCCCTCCCTCCATTTACCTATCTCCCAGTAATTAATGAAGCCCTCCTCTTACATTTCCCTTGTTCCCAGCAGGGGTGGCTTTCTCTTTTGTGTTCGGCTTCAGTCTTTCAGCCAGTGAGAGTCTGATGAGAGCTGGCAGTGAGCCACTCATTATCAACAGATTCCCACAGGGGTTACCATGCCCATTCTTTCTCACTCTGCATCCTCCACAGGCTCTCGCATTGTGTGAAGGCTCTGGCCACAAGCCCTTTGCAGATCACAGATGATAGAGCCATCAGTGGAGCTCAGAACTAAACAAAAAAAAAAACACATCACCTCATAATGGCCTCAGAGGACATGCTTGTATCTAAAATGATTATATTCTTGCACACTGTTATGTGTGCATTGTTTCCTGAAGGTGTAGTCCTGATTGTGCCATTGTAGATTGAAAATGGATGGAAAGGTCTTTCCTCTTATCAGATTTATTAATCAAGTTCACCCCAGACTCATTGTGTCCAACTGGGACTCAGGTTGCAGGAAATG